AGTTCTATAAATTATGATACTGATTCTTTCTTTCCTCAATCCTATGTGTAGATTGATCCACGGCATCGGTATGGGCACAACTTACACTTCTACTATGATGTATGGTTTGAAAGTGAAAGCTCTCAACCTTTCTTCTACTGGTGAGTTATCTGTTGGGGAATTTGCACCTTTACTATATGAATAGAAATGCTTAACAAATGTATCGATGAGTTGAATTATCTCAGAGCGGATGTCGTCTTACATTATCAATCTTGTTCTTTGAAGGTTGGATGTTGGAGATGGGAAAGAAATCAATCTTGAGAAGTGTCCAAGAACCAATCTGCAGCATCAATGCATCAAATATCTCGGGCCGGTAAGTCCAGATTCTGTCTAAGGTTTTTTTTTTACAACATAATGAATCTTATGATAAAAAAGAGCAGCCCGGTGCTGAAGCATCCCGCGTTTACGCAGGGTCCGGGGAAGGGTCGCACCCTGAGGGGGTGTGATGTAGGTAGCCTACCCTGATGCAAGCATCAATGGCTGATTCCACGTCTCGAACCCGTGACCTATAGGTCACACGGAGACAACTTTACCGTTGCTCTCCCCTTTAATGAATCTTACGATGATTCTTGGTAATTTAATTGCTTCTCCTTTTATTATTTCAGAAAGAGCGCGAATCGTATGAAGTAGTTATTCAAGATGGGAAACTTGTCTATAAACAAAGTGGTGCCTTTGTGGAGACAGTAGAAGGTTCAAAGTGGATTTTTGTTCTTAGCACAACAAGAACATTATATGTAGGAAAAAAGAAGAAAGGTGTGTTTCAACATTCGAGTTTTCTATCCGGTGGTGCCATCACAGCAGCTGGAAGACTGGTTTCTCATGGTGGTATTTTGGAGGTAATTATCGATCGATCTTCTATATAAATGCACAATAAATATATCTCTGCAATCTTTATCGATATCGATACAGAAGGCCATGTGACCAGAGGAGGTCACGGGTTCGAGCCGTTGAAACAGCCTTTTGCGAAAATACAAGATAAAGTTGCGTACAATAGACCCTTGTGGTCCGGCTCTTCCCCGGACCCAGCGCATAGCGGGAGCTTAGTGCACCGGGCTGTCCTTTTAATCTTTATCGATACATACAAAATGAATTTACTTATCTTTTCCATGTTATCTGCAGGCTATTTGGCCATACAGCGGGCACTATCACCCCACGGAAGAGAACTTCAGGGAATTCATTGGCTTCCTCGAGGAGCACAACGTTGATCTTACAAATGTTAAGGTAATTGTTCGAATTTGTGTCTTGAACTGTTGAACATGTTCCGCATTGCTTAAAATGTTATAGTGATAGAGAAATACATTGCTAACAACAATTTTCTATTTTGTGTTTTCAGAGATGTTCAGTTGATGATGATGATCTTTCGTTTAAAGCTAATAACGAAGGCTCAAATCGCCAACCACCTGTCCATCATTCTGTTGCAAAAGAATCACCGAAGAGAAGCACTTCTGCTGTAAATGATCAAACTGAGGCGAAAGCAGTCACAACAGACGATGATCGTGAAGACATCATCAATAACAAGACACAATCATCGTTTAGCTTTGCTAAACGTTTATCTCGCAAATGGTCAACAGGAAATGGACCTCGCATTGGCTGCGTTAGGGACTACCCAACAGAACTACAATTCCGAGCACTTGAACAAGTTAACTTGTCACCTCGGGTGGCTAATGGAGGTTACAACATATATGGTCCGATCCCCTCACCAAGGCCAAGCCCGAAGATTCGTCTCTCTCCTAGGATTGCACATATGGGACTACCTAGTCCAAGGACACCTATTTCAGCAGCTAACTAAGCAACATTTTTGCATTTGCACCAGCTGATAAACTTCTGGTTTTTTAGTGTCCTCACCTTTGACTATAGACAACACAACAACAACAACAACAAAGTCAGTAAATTCCCACAAGTGGGGTCTGGGGAAGGTACGATATACGCAACCTTACCCCTACCTTGGAAGGTATACCCTCGGCTAAAGAAGACAACACAACAGATGTAACAAACTAACGAAAATCGTTATTTATTCGTTCATTCATGTTGCTTTATTTGTACAAGATGCATGGCTTTCATTGAGCCTAATCGTCTTTTTTCAAAGTTTTGCCTCTTTTGTAATTGAAGGCTGGCTTTTATTAACATGTCAAATTCTTTCATATTTTTTTTGCTCCAATGTAGTTGAGTTGATAGCTCTTTATACATAGCAAAGTTTCTATGTCCAATCTTGCAATTCTCTTCCTCAAATCTTACAAGAAATCCATTTAGTTGCTCCATTTAAATTAAATGTACCATAACTCAAAGTCTTATTTTTTTTCAAACATACAAGTCAAAATTTCGAACTAGTTGAAGTCGGCTATACGAGTCCTCTATATCCTTTTCAAAATCTGTTGAATTGTCTCTCCTATATTCCCAGTCAATTCTGCATTCAAAATTCTTTACTCCTTGCCTACCTTGGACAATTTTTTATATTTTCTTCTTAGGACCAGTCCAGTCAAAAGGTGGACCAATATAGTCAGGATCTCATTCATTTGTTATGCATGCTATTTTGACTTCATGACTTTGAATCAAATTTTCCTCAAACTGTTGTACAAGAAACGGAGGAATTTAATCTGTATTTATCTTCCTTACTCTTCATTGAATCTTGGATAATAACCATGATTGAGTTTTTTATAACCTTTTTTGTGTTAAAATAGGGCACAATAGAAGAAACAATTATTTATTATAGGCGATAACCCATCGACCCACTCGTCAATCAATGTGTTTAACTAGCTTGCAATGATAGACCCCTATTATATTGGAATTAGGCGTCCATCATTTTACTGTCTGTCTTCCAATTAGTTGGGGTTAAGTTTTAGTCATGTTAGTATGTTTCATTTAATCTTTAGTCTTCTTAAAGATTCACAGGCTTGTTGAAACTGTAAAGAATTTCTGGTACCGTAGAAACTAGTACTATAATATTGAACTGGGAAGGACGTAAATAAAAGCATGACCAGTGAGGACTTATATAGCCAACTTGTGGGTTTGAACATTGTGGGTTCGTGTTAGGAATCCCACCACAACTCAATGACCCATAACTTTAATATTAATTTGTAGCTACTTAGTGAAATTCTTACACAGCCAAAGTTACTAAGTTCAGCGAATCAGTAAGCCCTTAACTACGTCCGCCCCTGTTTGACCATGAACATTTGCAACTAATTGAATTTGAATATTTGAATTTCGAGTGAAATATTGAATATGTTGATTTGAAGGTGTATTTCAAGGGAAGTTGTTGGTTGTTACTCACAAATATTCCATATTCACAAACAAACTTTTCTACACAAAGTTCATATCCAAACTCAACTTCAATTTTTTACAAATTATTTTTTCAACTTTCACTCATTCTTTTTCAAGTTCAACTTCAAATATTTTTTTTTCCAGGAAAAGATGCTCCCGTTTGGTCATAGATTTTGACAATTTTTTTCCATTTTTTTTTAAAAACAATATTTGTTCATGGAATATGATCAGTTCCAAGTTTCCAAAAACTGGTTTAGGATAGTTTTCGGGTGAAATTTTTTCTTCCACTCACAAAACTTCAACTTTTTTTCAAATAAAATGCATATCCAATTTCCAAATACAATTTCAACTTCCAAAATTTATTTTTCAACACAACTTCAAAAATTCTATTTTTAAGTAACAACCAAATCTATGTCCAAACGCTAGCGAACTTTTAACTCAAATAATGCCCGAACACATAATTTTTGGACATGCCTTTGGTGGCTGGACAGGATTACTTCACCTCCAACGATATATTACTTTTGAACACTTCTCTTTAATCCAAAGAAAGCTCTTTTTAATCGACCCTTTCACATTCCCCTCAACTGTGTAAACCTTATAACTAGCTACTCTTTTTTTCCTCTGCAACTCTGGGTCAACGAAATTCCTGTTCTTTGAAGTTGACCCATTTGTTGACTTTGCTTTCTTGAATTTTACTTCTTTGACCATCTCCATCTGAGTGTTGTTATTCCAAGATGATGAAGACACATATGAAGTACTGTAGCATCTAAGGTCGTGAATTCCACTTGGGTTTAAGGTTGGTTTGGTGTTAACACTCGGTACAGATAAGTTTTTACTACTGTAGTATCTGAGATCGTGAATTCCACTTGGGTTTGAGGTTGGTTTGGTGTTAACACTTGGTACGGATAAGTTTTTACTACTGTAGCATCTGAGGTCGTGATTTTTACTTGGGTTTGAGGTGGGGTTAACATGAGCTCCACTAGCAACATAAGCGAAATTTTCTAGTTGAGTTCTTGACCACTCGTTAGATGAATTGGATTTGAAGTCTTCCATTACAGAAGCATAAATTTCTTAATTTGTTCGACCTATCGTTTTTAATGTCCAAATGTAGAATTTATTTGAATTATTTAGGAGCATATTATTCATGTGAAGCTGCCGATTACTATTGGTTTTGTCACCTTTTGGTTATGTCGATGGTAGTGGTGGTACTTACAAGGTGTAGGAGGAGGTTACTAACCGGCTAAGCAGAGTCTATAGACTATAATCTTAAGTTATAATATACATTATCTTTTCTGAATTTAAGTCGTAAAAACATTTCTTAAAACAAAGTTGTATACTGTTCCCTGAGCTGAACCACAGCAAAACATATTAAATTTGAATTCCGTCATGTTCTTTCTTCCTCAGTCGTTTTACAAGCCTTCATAAGTTCAGCATGTTCATTAATTTATATGATGGATAAAAGTAAAAAGGCAGCTCGATGCACAAAGCATCCTACATTCACGCAGGGTTCGGGAAAGGTCGCACCCTAAGGGGGTGTGATATAGACAGCTTACACTAACGCAAGGGTTAATAGTTGATTTCACCGCCCGAACCCGTGACCTATAGGTCACACGGAGACAACTTTACTGTTACTCCAAGGTTCCCCTATATATAGGATGGATAAAAGTAGTAGCAATAACAAGTACGCAAATAATAAACATGTATGACAATAAGTGAATGTGTTTACTATATATTGACCATTATGAATGTGACATATTAAATAGGGAAATTTCAAAGTCTCCCAACTTGGTTTACTTTTGTGATACTTTCTAAACTAAACTATTACACTTACATTAATCAAGAATGATATACATTTTTTCAATGTTAACAGAGTGATATAGTACAAAGCAACAACTCTGCTCTATTCCCTAGTATCACATTTACAAAAGGATTTTAACGTGATGCGATCCATTTCAGCAGACAAGTAAAACAGCAGGTATTCCTTATCAGGAACTTACTCGTGGCAATAGCAATTGATGCAGTTTTTTACCGATCTCCCTCCCGGGGGACTAGCTTAGCACTTGGACAGTTCAAAGCGTTCTGATGAAGCTTAACTAGCACTACCTTTTCTGTTCATCACATCGTGGTAATACAGAAGCGCACACATTGGTTGACCAAGAATGCAGAAAAAGCACCAGAATGTCATGTTGCCCACCTGAAACAGTTGCCGCATTATGAATATCATACTTCTTTAATTGGCTTCTCAACATAAAGTTACCAGTAAAAAGAGAATAAATTATCTTAAGCTCATGAGAATAACAGCGCAGGAAGACATACATTCGAGCTTTTGAACTTGTTTTGCAAGAAGTTCGTGAGTATGACCAAGGGAATCTGATCAGAGAAAACACCACTACATGTCAGTAACTCATACAGATCAATGAAGATACAAGTCTTCCGATCAAGTATTTACTAATTAGAGCTCCCTTGTTATACCAATATATACACATACACGCATGTGCGTGTGTTAAACACCATTACCTGAAACATGATTCCAAAGAAGGCCCAGAACTTGAAAAGTCGACAAGGAACAGCAATACACAGCTGAAGATAACAGCATCACATGTCATTCAAAGCCAGTCATTTTGAGTTGTCATAAGCTGTACTATTTGCTTCTGCTCTAAAAATAAAAGATGGAAGTACCTCGTGGAAAACAGCAGATACAAAGAAAGAAATCAACATTGCACCCCCCTGCACCAAGAATTCATTGGCAATTAAGTTAACACAATAGATCATGAAATAAGGAATAGGATACAAATTGTAAGAACCAAACTTCTGTCAAAGTAGAAAGTGGAAAAATCATGTGAAGCAGCAAACGCTGATGCTTTACACCAGGCATACACTTACCAAAAAACTGAGTATCTGACAAATAAAAATAACGACATGAAAAATATCAAGCATAATGTCAACCCAAAAAAGTACTTCATGAAGGTCTAATGTTAAATGTAATCTTACGAGTTTATAACCTTTATAAACTCGAAACTTGGTAATTCAAAATCATTCTGGGATGCAAGGTTAAAGTGCTATGATTATTTTAGTTCTTTGAGAAGAGCAGTGTAAGTACAAGATCAAGTAAGTGCATATAGATGGCTGCACGCCAAGATAATGACAATTAAGGTGACACCTTTCATGTCAAGTATATTGTATATATCAAGAAACTAATAGCACATAAAAGATTACAAATTAAGCAGAAAAAAGATAATTAAAAACAAATTAGTATCTAGAACAAGAGAAGTCTGATAGTACCTTAGGTATGCCATTCCTTAAGCATGGGAAATAAATGTGACGAACCATCCACTTATGTACAGGCTGCAGTTGTCACCAATACTTGGGTTACTATTGTCAAAAAAATGTTTGACAATCATCAAAGACTAAACCAAAACCGAACAAGTGCGTACAAAGACAAGTTGTCCCTCTTTACCAGTTTCCCCTAGATATGAATTGCATCTACCCACTAAAGGAGATACTGTGCAGCATCTAGACATAATAAAATTGTGTCCAGAAAATACAAGGGTAGGATTATTCACTTATCTGAAGATCTGAACAATCTTTCTGTCCCACTTGATCTGGTGCTTCTTAAGTTTTTGGTTTACTTTTCAGCATTAGATATAATCTTAAGTTCACTTTTGAAACCGTTTACATTAGTTTAGAAAATCATAGAAAATTCTAGACTTGCAGCAGCCGTTTAATTGACAAAATCTAGACCTTTTTCCTTAATACTCTTCAATTTATAGTAAATGGTATCTAAACAAATACCTCACTTCTCCTTGTGACAATGATCGTTGCCCTACTATCTTTTTCATGTATTCTACATTTATTTATTTAATATATGTTCGGACCAATTTTCAACAACTTTTACAAATTCATGTCAATTTCATAGTTGCAGTGTCAGATCATCCGCTAAAGTTTATATTACAGTAAATCAATACGGTCGTAAGAGTAATTCCTTTTTCTTCTCCATTAGGACTAAAGAACAGCAAAGGGAGACCACAAAAATGTTTGCAACAACTAAATAAGTATCAAGTAATAGATGGCAATACCGCTTATTTAACTTTCTCTAATGCTGAATACCAATGGTGGTTGGTGAGCTGATACCACCGTCATATTAACAAACAGAACACAAACATAGATATGAAACCCTTTGATGAGTCTCCCTTTGCCCGAGGCTTATAAGGAATCACATTTTATCAGGAAAAATTAGAGGCGAGAAAAAGGCTTACACAGCTGGAAAAGCAAAGATTTTGCGGGCATCAGATTCATTGAAAAAACACTCTCAAGCAAGAAAGACCCCCCCCCCCAGGCTTCCACTTTCATCCTTCAGAGACTCATTGAATGTCAGACATTTCAATTCTTCTCAAGAGCTAGCCAGACAACCGGAAACAGGTAAGACTTCTGTTATAATAGGTTCACATATGTCCAAGATCAAGCTAGACACTATAACATCCGCTTGTGTTACTGCAAAATTTACCCCAATGCAAAGCTGAGCAGTCCAAACATGACCAATTAGGATTTGTAACGCCATTTATCACAAGACTGAAACATCAATGGTCTTCTGAAATTTCCAGTTCTAGGTAACGAGACAAACAAATCTTTTCTGCATGCATAAAAATCAGGCAATGACATAAAAAGAAGGAAGAATTACATACCATATTCCAGAGTCTCCAATACTGATAACAGCAACCACACAAAAGAAATAAATGAGAAATCCCAGCAAGCTCTGAATTGTTGGGATGCAGAACCAAAAAGAACAAGGTAATGTGATATTTTAATTTACCTCATCAATAGTTTTTGCATTCCACCAATCTTTGTAGAACTCACGATCCCCAAATAGCAGAAGTTCCGCAAGTATATTTAGCCTACAAAGAAATGGACTATGTAAATAGAATTCATTCTGTTGCAGTGCAAGAACACATAATCCATATATTTATTTTAGTAGTTATTCAGATATAACAGAACAAGTTCTGGTGTTCTATCCTGAAATGTGAAGCTTCTCATAATCTTACACGAGATCCATTACTAGGAGTATAGCAAACAGATAAACTATAACCAAAATGAAGTCTATGGACTTTCACAGATTCACCATGGTGACATCATGAACTGGGCTGGATGGACATAATTTTTTTATTTCACTATGAAGCATGAAATAATAACATAGAATCTCATAAAAGCGATTATGTCACTAACAAAAACACACACAAGTTTAATGCAAACATCAGGTGCAGATTTTGGCCTTTGATGAAGAAAACATTATTCTAAAACCCAATTGTGATATGAGGTCTAATGTGAACCAATTGTCTTAATAGTTAGAATTAGGTTATTGAGAACTTAAATGCACACTCCTCTTTCCTAGGAACTTTATCTCATCTTGCAGTACACCCATTCAAGTTTCAGTTCCGGCATTTAACAGGCAGCTACCCATGCGTTGGTTTGGATAGATATAAAGGAGGAAAAGAACATTACTGGATTAAAACCATTCAGGCTTACTAAGCACCTACCATCCCATTTTGCACCTTCTGATCCTTCAGTTTTTCTCTCCCTCTACTCAGCACTCACAACATTTAGACACTCCAGATCAAGTACAATGTGATGTGCGCTTTAAATGGTTAATAAGTGACATGGAACAGTTTAGTTAAACATACTTGAAATGAAAATACAGGAAAGCGTGATGACAAATACACAGCAAGAATGTTCCTAACACACACTTGTTTTACTATAAAGTATAAATACCTTGCAAATAAGATTGCGACACCAAAAAATATGGCAAGAAAGACAATGATCTACAAATAAAATTCATAAGCAAACTAAATTTATACATCAAATTCAGAGAACATACCAAAGATGAAAGAGGCAGTAGAACATACAGAGCCAGACATATAAATTTGGAAGTGAAAGCCTCAATACCCTCTCGATGGCGTATAAAAGGTCTCCTTTCAATGGATGTTGTGAGTTTTGCACAATTGGGTTAATATACTGGCATTAAGATGCAAAGGTTAATATATTTTGCTTTGCCAGGAGAGAAGGCACATTGGGTTGTCAAGCTAAAGAGAAGTTACCTGTTCAATGATAAATCCCATAAATCCTGTAAAAATTACCAGCTTGATGAGTTGGCGTGCCAGCCAACCCTTTCGAATGCATGCAGTGCGAGGATAACTAAGCTTCAGATAAGATAACATACATAATCCAAAAAATAATGAGTTGATGAAACAAACAGTAAGAGAAAGTTGATCAAAAGGGAATTTTCATTGTTATATTACTGATGATAATTGATTTCCTATTACTATGAAAGAAATGGGTCTATAATCCACGGGAAAAGGACCAGAGGGGCCTCAATTGTAGTATTCGCTAACTGTAGCCCATTGCATCTGCGCAGACCACATTCAAGTATTATACAGTATGAAATACAAGTACTTGCGAACAAAAGCAGATGGGCATACTAACTACAGCTCCATAAGAATATATGCACGTGACTGGAAAAATGTGTCCAAGGGCCATAGCAATGTTTGATATTGCAATTTGATCCTTTTAGCATAATTTAAGCACATCCAATTTGCTTCACCATTTAACATGCATATGAATAATTCAGGCCAGGACATGCTTCAGAGTACAAACTTGAAGAGAAAATAACGGGTTCAAAGCATAGTCCCCCTATTTTTAGCACAGACACAATTCTGGAAAAAATGTCCACATGCTATGCAATAAAATCACATGGAAGGTAGTACTATCAAAAGACCCACAATTTCTTCAAATCCATGCAGACTCGGCAGAAAACAGAACAATTTTAAACATCGAACTAAATTGCTCGACATAGTCATGTAAATAAATCTTGGTGAATCTAGAGAAACAAAAAATGCTGATCTATAATGCACATGTAGTAAGCACTCTGCCGGGGGATGAAATCAGTGACAACTACTCTGGAAGGGTCAGCTAATCCTACCTGATAGCACAAAGTTGGAGCAACCATGAAGTAAGCCAAACTCTTGAAATTAACATCGTATGAGTAGTTGACATCTGAATGTTCACCCTGAAAACGTTTAAAACTTAATATGAGAGACTTCATATTTGCAACAGAATTGCAGCAAGGATACCATAGTTTAAATAGAAAAGTTGGTTGTCTTGAACATTTTCACGAGAAATGAAGCCTTAATCAAGATCAGATTTTCGGGACCCACGACAAAGAATAAACTAGTCATACCTTATCCACAGATTTCGCAAGCTGTCTCATATCATAACTTGTATGTGCATAAGAAACCAGTTTCATCCACACAACGCAAGCAAAAAGCATCAATGTGACACCCGCTAGGAAAGCAGAATCACACCTGTGAAATTTAAAACATTTTGACTCACTACAATGTATATTAGCAATAAAATAGAGTACGGAACATAATTGAAGATTCTCTCACAATTTAAATTTCAACTGAGTTTCAACGGGCGGCTATCTGAGCCAGTGTAATCAAAGGCAAAAAGTGTAGAAAAGCACCAAGTCTGTCAGACTTTAGGCAACCACTAGCTATAGTGAAGAAAAGCGCAATGAAGAAAAAAAAAGTATATGTAACACAGAAATGATAATTCTACATAAACAGTCCCTATATGGACCAAAAAATTAAGTAGCTGCAATTTGTTGATATATATGAAGTAAAAATGATGTCAATTTAAGTTCACAAATTGTTTTAAATCTCTGAATTAGCAATTATTCACTTGTCCCCTTGTCCATGCAGCAAATTTCTAATTCAGATCCATGATTAATTTTCTTTTACTAACTTTCTATTTTCCAACCTAATTCATCTATAAAGCTTCCTTAATAATCCACATATGCAATAGCTTAATGTTTAAAGACGAGCTCTAAACCGAAAATCCAACTTTGAAATCAAAATTAACTCATAAGCAACAACTTCTAAAACCCAGATAATACCGCATTTTTTTAACATTCACCAAATCTACCATAACAATGTCTCAATTTTAAAACACACACACACACACACACACGCCAGTGAAGGCTGGCTGAGCGCCTTCTTAAGAGGATGTATCTATCAAAGTTTCATGACCACAGAATGAGAACAAACCTGAGGATAACCAATACTGGATACAAAATGGCAGCTGTTGTTATAACTATGTGAAGAGCGACAACTACCTGCAAGTTCAGTTAGAAGATTCACTTGCTAAACTTAAAGTCAAAATACAATAAAAGGTAACATGAGTTGAAAGAGTGAAAACACCAAGAAGGACAGGTCACAAGAGCCAGAATTAGTCCAATGTAAACCTTCTTGAAGTGTGACTCATCCATGTCTGAGCAGACTCTTTTCATTGATATTGAAGATTAACATAAGATGAAGGGAAGAAAAGAGGAGGTTACTCTGACTTACACGTTCAGTCATATACTTCTTCTGTGCCAGCTTCTCGACAAGAAAAGCAGCAAAAGGGAAAATTGGGAGACTAAGACTGCAAGCACATTAACAAATTTAATATTTTATCTTAAATAATGTCAGCATAAAAACCAGATTACAAAAGGGCTTAAGAACACTACCAGCACAGCAGAATTGGCCAATCTCTTAATGATGTTGAACTAATCCAGAAGCCAGACCCAATTAACAAGCCATACTGCAATAGTAGTCAAGAGTTTGTCATGTGCAACATGAATACTAAGAACCCTCTGAAATATAGTCATAACTTATAAACCTATTGCTACTAAAACCTTACAGGGATTAGAGACGGCAATTGAGAAAGATGCATCATACATCGGGAAGGTTCCCGCTGACTAGCCAAATGGAACAGAGGACTGACATTAGAGAAAGAAATGTACCTTCATCAAATTTTCGATAATCAGCCTGCTGTTTACGGCAATAAGCACCACTACACAGAGATTGAGTAGCCCTGCATGGCTCTACAACAAGATGCACGAACTAAATTAGAAAAGAGCTCCACAACCGCTTAATTATGGGGAATTCAGACTAACGTTTTATGTAAGGAGCATGTAGTTGGGTGATAAAATCGTTAGAAATTACTCGTCAGACATCTGAAATGCAACTCCAAATAACACCAATTTGAGATTCTACCTTTTAACAGTCTTTCATCAGTTGAATTCAACCAAAAATTACATCAGCCAATCATTATATACACTGACCATTCGTGCAATTTAACCTGCTATATTATGTTGCGAACCGTTTATTATAGGTTAACAATTGTAGCTTTAATTAAATAAAATTAATTGTTATTTCCTTTTAAGAGACAGTAAAAGAATCTTTACACAACTTAAACTCTTTTAAAAAAACAAAGTCAAAAGAGTTAAGAAGAAGAGCATACTTGTTTGAAAATGGCGGCGGAGCTGAGAGGACTTTCCTTGATTCGCCGGTGAGCCGGCGCCGACGCTCTATAAACATACTTCAACGGCGTCGTTTGGGTTGCTTTTCTCTGCTCCTCATTCTCAACTTTATCGTTCTGCTCCTCCTGAATTTCATTTCCATCGCTGAACCTGCCATCTCCACCGTCACCTGTTACGTCATCCGAGCTACTAGAAGCTTCCATCGCGGAGCTCGAATCCGACTCCGTCACATCCTCCACAGCTTTAGCACCGCCGCCACGTCGCCTTCGAAGGTTGCTGTTGTCGTCGCTCGATGACGTAAGACTCTCCGGCGACTCCGTGATCGTCATCGATCGCTTTATTACTTCTACAAATCACCAGAAAAGTGATGGAAATTTCGACAGAAATAGCGAATTTTCGGGGGAAAAACTGTACAAGAGAATGGAATTTGACTAGAAATTGAAAAGGATACTGTAGAAAGAAGATGAATAATAGTCAAGGGATGGAGATAAGCGTGTGCTAAAAAAGGCGGGTTTTTAACTTTAGATGTAAAAGAACTGTTTTTCGTTATATAGTATATTGTTAAGGAATATACGTAGGGGAAGGTGTGTGGAGCCATGAATTCGAGAAGAACGTGACGACAATCTGTTGTAATATAATATAGTCAGACTAGAGCGGCTAGGAAGTTTCTTATAGGGAATTCCAGAACAAATACCCGCGTTTACATTGTGTTTGGTTGGCGACACCAGAAATTTTTGGAACATGTAATTACTGAAAATTTTGGTTGGCCACTATTTATGATTCGATTTCGATCTATTTTTTCCTAAAAATAAACCAAACTAAATAAGTCGATTTTTTAAATATTGGAACCAAACTAAACCAATTAAGTCAATTTTTTATCGATTATCAGTTTTTGTCGATTTTTCGGTTTTTTCGATTATTTATCGTTTTTTCCTTAAATATGAGATATACACTATCAAACACATATTCCGACGACTACATTTTCAACATAGCATTATGAGACCAAGTTATCTTTGAGAAATCTATCATTTACCAAGATATATTGGTGATAATTGAACAAAATAGTGATGAATAATTTTAGGACTCAATTAAAAATAAATTATTTTTAACATGAAATAAATTCTTGTACTTAGCAAAAGAAAGCGACTAATCAAACTAGAATGTAAAGGCAAAGAACTAGATTATTATAATACCAAAGAACTAGACTAAAAGTGCAAATTATTGAAATGTAACATAAAATTTTAGAAACTTTGTATAGAAATATATAGGTATAATAATAAATTTTAAATAGCTACTTCTATATTCTGTTTGGTTCGATTTTTTTCGGTTATTTTTTTAATTAAATCAAAATCAAACTAAATTTGGTCGGTTTTAAAATTCAAAACCAAAACCAAACCAAACCGAAAAAGTATCGATTTTTTTAGTCGGTTTGGTTCGGTTCGATTTTTCGAGTTTTTATGAATATCCCTAGTTGGTCGTATTAAGATATTGACATTAGGTTATGCAAAATTTTATGCGTAATAGAATATAAAATAATAATGGGTGGATGTCCAAATTCTTTGAAAAAAGGTTCAAATTTATTACTCAACGTTTAACTATGATCTAAAGTCATACTAAGGTTGGACCTTTTTCGGGCGTCAAGGGTAAAAATGAGATTTTTGTTTCCGTAATAGCGGATCAATAATAGACTAGAAGTTTATCAGAGGACAATATTATATAATTTGAAGGCGAGATACTTTGTGCACCGGACTATCCTTATACCATAGAACCAAGTCCTTATACCATTAACTAAGTGCTCCTTGTTTCGTTGATAACCAGTAGAAGTTCCGTTTAAAGCATGTATATGAAAAATACTCCCTCCGTTAACTTTCACTTTTCCAGTATTCTAAAAATAGATTTTTACTTTTACTTGTCACTTTTAGCATATCAAGAGAAGACAATTTCTTTTTTTCTGTTATACCCACAACATTAATTATATTACTCATTTCAAATTATTTTCTCAAAACTATTAAAAATATGCATCAATTAATATGGGTATCATGGTAAATTATGCACTTTATTTATTATTTCTTAAGAGACGTGAAAAGTCAAAACATGACAAGTAAAAGTGAACGGAGGGAGTACTAATAATAAACGAATGCTATGAGACAATGTATTTCAGATACAACCCTTGATGTAAAAACAAAACTAGCTTAAGTCATTACTACATAAGATAATAATGGACTACACAATTCTAATGCAAACTAGAAGAAAAAGGTAAAACAACAAAAGCAAGAAAATAATGAACAAGAAAAATCTTGTTTACAGGAGATCAGCAACAGTTGCAGGCAACTCCTCAATCACCACATTGTAAAATTTCTGAATATCAGACAGCATCTTTTCATCATCCCTTGTTACAAAATTGATGGCCACACCCTTTCTACCAAATCTTCCACTACGTCCGATACGATGCAGATAATTCTCAGGCTGAGTAGGAAGATCGTAATTCATGACAAGCGAGACTTGTTGAACATCAATTCCTCGCGCCAAAAGATCCGTGCTGATAAGAACACGAGAAGAACCAGAACGAAACTCGCGCATTATTATGTCCCTCGTGTTTTGGTCCATGTCACCGTGAGTGGCTGAGACGGTGTGATCTCTTTCGCTCATCTGCTCTGTCAACCGATCAACTTTGCGACGAGTATTCACAAAGATCACACTTTGTGTAATAGCTAATGATTCGTATAGATCGCAAAGTGTTTCAAGCTTATCTTTTTCCTCTCCCACGTTTACATAAAACTGCTTGATCCCTTCTAAAGTTAGCTCGTCGCGCTTCACAAGAATCCTCACAGGATTGTTCATGAATTTTCTTGTGATCTCAAGGGCCTCAGGGGGCATTGTAGCGGAGAAAATACCAACTTGAATCTTAGTAGGCAAGAGCTGGAAAATATCATAAATCTGGATACAAAAAAGGGGTATATATATTAGAGAATCACCGCAGAAAAAATTCATCTTAAGCTATCAGAGAATAATTTGGACTAATAAGACATCCTAAGAAATCCAGTGAATGTATATAAAATGGAAACCACCACACAAAAGCAAATATAAGAAGATAGTTCAACTCATATTTCAGAGTAGAGCATTAAAAGACCTCCAACGCAAAATGAAATAAAAAGTGAGAAAATCATGGATAAATTGAACACCAGTGCTAAGCTAAACTTAAAAACCAGTTCCCATATTACAAATCGTCGAACGCCAACTTTGAAATACACAAGTTCATGAATTAAGCATGCTGATTAGTACAAGTGCACCATGGACAAGAACACATTGTTTCTCATTAATTCATCCACCCCCTCTCCCCTCCCCTCCCCGAGGACAGTCGAGGATCGCTCTGCACAGTGTATCATATAATTAATCTCATTAAATGCAAACCTTTTACTAGTACAAAATAATAACTTATCAAATGATATTTACACAAACTTCAAGAAGATGCCAGCGTAACTAGCAGTTCAGGTTGTAATGAAACACACATATACAAATACAAAGCTGTAGCCGTGAGCATATAGACATCCTTGTGTGCAGTGGCGGAGTCAGAAATTTATATAAGGGGATTCAAAAGAAAATAATAGAATGCCACACCTAGGCCCTAGCTAGTATCGTTTTTTTTAAAGCTAACATACTCCCCGGCAGAGTACCTAGGTGGTTATCTTATTAAATCTTCAAAAATGCAGTTTGAGAGTCATACATAGCCTGATACATACATGCAAAATATATGAACTTGAGAAGATGAAATAATGTAGCATCATTACCTAGCTAGTATTTGAACCTGAGACTCTTAAATCAATTTATGAATCCGGCCCCTACCCACTACACTAGAATATCTTGGGCAAATTGGCTATGCAAATAAGGCAAAAACGAATTCTTTAAGTTGTGTGTGCATAGATATATTGTACTAACATGTATATGGACAGACAGGACATGTGATGTCACAGATAACTCATGAAAAAAGAAAACAGACCTGATCTTTGAAGCCTCTTGATGTGTGGCTATAATTCCATAGTTTCGTACATTATTTGCCTTGCATTTTACATGCTTTAATGATAAATTACACTTTATTTGTGGATAATGGAGTCTATTTTATGTGTAGGTGAATTGGAGATGAAAGTAGAGCAAAAGGGATACTTAAACGTTGAAAGTGTGCTCGAGAACAGTGAAAAGGAGAGACCAGGCTTTAGCCTGGCGAGGCCAGCCTAAGGCCAGGCTGAACCAGGCTTTAGCGTGGCGAGGCCAGCCAAATTCCAGGCGTTAGGCTGGCGACGCCAGGCCAAACGCCAGGTCCAATCCGAGTTTTGAAGACTTAATTCGTTCCGGATTTGACTAGGACCCGGTCCACACGTTTAGGATTTCTTCTACACATATAAATAGACCTAAAACACCACTTGGAAGGGGTTTTTTATTAGCAGCAACGTTTTTGGGCAGCTAGAGGCAAGGAGAGCTGGTGGAATCACCTCTTGGGAGTTAGAATCATCTATTTCTACATCTTTTCATTTTTACTCTGTATTTTAGTTATGCAAAATATTTGAGATATTGTTACTATGAGTATGAGTAGCTAACTTCCTAATCTAGGGTTTTGATGGAACCTATTGAAGGATGATTTTCTTGTTACGTTAATATAGATTTGCCGTAGTATTTTTTCTATTTGTTCAACTATATTATTCTTGTGGTTGATTGAAGGGCCCTCAATTAGCTGTGCCTATTTAGTATGTATTACTCGGGAGAGAGTACATATTTAGGTAGTTGTTGAACAACATCACTCCTAAACGTATATGAGGGATCAATACGGAGGTTTAAAGGTGGGAGTAGGGATAACGAAACCTTGGTGCGATCCGAGTGAGCTGTACTTAATGCTAGCTAGCGTAATTCGGGAGAATATGCCTAGTAAATTGTGGTAATTACTCGGGAGAGAGTTACGACAGTTAGAGTGCTCATGGTCGATAGAGAAGACTTAGGCAAATTTATAGGAAACATAGCGGAAAGGATTCCGACAATTGGGGAAATCATAACTCTATACCTCCTTAGTCTTGTCTATAATTTCATCCATGTTAATTGATAGTTTTAGTGCTTTCTAGTATTTGTTAGTTAATTAGATAAAAATAAACATTATAATCTTTATAATTAGGAAATTACTTGAACTTGTATTTCTTTGCAATATTGAACAGCTATCGCTAAGCCTTAGTTCTCTGTGGGATTCGACTCCGGACTTGTAAACCAGATTATATTTGCAACGACCGCTTAGTCCTTTTTATAAGGCATAGTTGGGCGTGATCAAATTTTGGCGATGTTGCCGGGGAACTAACGGCATAGATGTAGGTGTACATATTGCTAGGTTGCAAGTTTGAACTTCTATTTTGTTTTCTTGTATTTGATTTTTTTAATTTTTGTTTTACTTGTTGATTTTAGTAACATGGCATCTTGGAATTATGACAGTTTTGATGTTGGTAATTCTACTTTTGATCCTCCTTATGCATATTGTGGAGGAAACCACCCATGGCAAAATTATCAAAATATTCCTGAGAGCGAGTTATGTGCACCAACTCAATCTTATGTGTGGAATGTGTGTG